CTAGGGTTTGATGGTTTGAATCCCAGCCATGGCACCATCTGGCTGGAGTTTGCATTTCCTCCCTGTGCCTGCGTGAGTTTTCTCCGGGTACGCCACTTTCCTCCCACACTCCAAAGACATGCTGGTAGGTTAACTGGATCCTGTCTAAAATGGCCCTAGTATGTGTATGCAGCGGTGTATTTAGGTTTTGTGCTGCCCTATGCAAAAAAAAAATCGTCTGCCCCCATGGACACCGACCAACACCCCCCTACCCCTCCCAAGGAGAGAGCGTGACATTGACCAGCAACACCCCTGCCCCCCACTCAGGAGAGCCTTCCACTACTCCCCCCCCCCCCCCCCCCCCCCCGCGATAGAGAGAAAGAAACTCATCTTCAAAGCTCCGGACACCCCTGGGCATGAGAGTCAGGCTTTACATACACCATCAAGCAATCCTCAGCCTCTCTTGGATCCCACCTGGTTTCAGTGGCATGCATGTCCCTTCTTTCATCCCTTCTTCTGAGGGGAGGTGCTGCCCACCTAAAAAATGTCGCCCTAGGTAAGTGCCTTGTTTGCCTTGTGGTAAATAAATAGGACCCTGTGTGTATGTATGAATGGGAGTTAGGGACCTTAGATTGTACGCCGCTTGAGGGTTAGGGACTGATGTGAGTGTACAATATATATGTAAAGTGCTGCGTAAATTGATGGCGCTATATAAGTACCTATAATAAACAAATAACAGATGCAGTTGTAAACTCGCTGTACCTGCTTCTGGCTCCTGATATATGTCTTCTACAATAATCCCATCACAGAGAGGCTGAAAATAAAAATGAAAGCCAATTCAGAATGTTGTTGATATATACAATTGGAAAAGGCTTTTTTTTTTTTTTTGGAGCTTACACACAAAAAAAGGGGGAAAAAAAATGTGTGTATATATATATATATATATATATATATAAAATTAGATTCCATAATCCTAAATTTCACAATGATCAAACCATTCTACCAGCATCACCTCTAACTGGTTAAAGGCAACCTGAAAAGTCGCTGAGTGTTGGCAACTATACCTGTCTTTCCCCAGTGGGATGACCTGCTACAAATTCCCATTTCACAACCTGTTGTAACAGTGCCGTCTTGTTACGTAATTAGTCATTGTGTCTGCGTACAGAGAGGTGGCGGAGGACTGCTGCCAACCATCTGCCTTTACATGATATGGCTGAGCGATTATTACCCAAGAGGCAGCTGGTGGCTGTACGCTGTAATCCTAACTGAAGGGGAACAAAGGAGCTTCAATCCCAGGACTCGCATCTGCCTGGCTGGAGGGCATAAGCTGCCCAAAACACTTAGATCTGGAGCAGATACCCATATGTACCAATTACCACACTATCATTTCTGTTGCAGGACATACATCTTTTTTTGCACGTCGCTTACTGCACTTTGGAGCCATTTCAGCTCATGTTTAACTGTTGGCTATAGGCTAAGTTCACCTTAAAAAATAAATAAATTCACAGATTTTTTTGCAGAAAAAAATGCACATTTATTATTTTTGTTTATTTCACAGGCGCCTGCAAAGTACTGAATCTGTGATCAGTGGTTTGCAGGTGCAATGCCAGTCTCCTGCAGACTTTCTTCCAGCTCCGTGCCCATACCAAGGTATAGGCTTTCAGTTGGAGAGCTGGAGGAAGTGTCCATGGACTATGAGTGTGGTGATTCCCGCACTTGTCTTCTATTAAGAACTGCTGCAGTGGCAGATGGAGTTTGTAGATTCCCCCCTCTAAACAACCTTCCCCCCACTCTAGATCCTGAACCAGCATTATTATTTACCTATACCTTTTTCCTGTAGCTAGAAACTGCTTTTATTACTCGCTGCAACATCATCAACAGGCTTATAATTTGTAGCAGGGGTAACTGCTGAGAGCTGGGTTTCTGTTGTCATAGGTATGCTCCCTCTTCCCCATAACTACATCTCCCGAGAGTTCTTACCCAACACACAGGTCATTCCTATATCAGCCACTTTATTTTAGGACTCCTGCATGCCACAAGTACAAAGCAACATTATATCTATGCAAACCTGCACCGCTGCCATGTTTTTTTCTATTGAATTTACTCTATAATTATGGAGCAGGGGCGGACTGACCATTTGGAAAACCGGGCACTGCCCAGGGCCCGGGGTCAGTAGGGGGCCCCATGAGATGCCCCTGTTACCTTATTCATAGGCTTTTTTTGTTTTGGGCAAGGACACAGGGGCCCCATGATCCCCTATTGCCCAAGGGCCCCATGAGTTGTCAGTCCGCCCCTGTTACGGAGCGATTTACAAGCACTAATATGGGGATGCTCCTTGTAAAATATTAGCATTTTTCAAATTTATATATATTGCTAAACGGTAAAAATGAACATTAAGATAGAATATCTCAATTTTGCCTAGGTTGTTCTCGTGTATTAAGAAAGACGCCCCCCGACCAACTGCTGAGGAAGGAATGTTGATTAGAACTTCTGTTCTGAAAAATACATCGTTTAGCTGCCTCACACGCTACCATAGGAAAGGCACTCTGTTCAAACAAAATGCAAAAATAATGAATGCACAAGCACTCTGGTCATCAACCAGGAGAAAAGATTTCCAGCTTTGTTACCTGATATTCCATTGAATTCAGTCCAGACCAGGGGCGGACTGACAACTGATGGGGCCCCCAGGCAATAGGGGATCATGGGGCCCCTGTGTCCTTGCCCAAACTCAAAAAAGCCTATGAAAAAGGTACCAGGGGCATCTCATGGGGCCCCCTACTGACCCCGGGCCCTCGGGCAGTGCCCGATTTTCCAAATGGTCAGTCCGCCCCTGGTCCAGACATTACAGTTGTATACTATTAACCACTTACCCCTCTGGAAGATTTACCCCCCTTCATGACCAGGCCATTTTTTGCTATGCAGTGCTGCGCTACTTTAACTGACAATTGCGTGGTCATGCAACGCTGTACCCAAACAAAAAATTTTTTTTTTTTATCACACAAATAGAGCTTTCTTTTGGTGGTATTTGATCACCTCTGGGTTTTTTTTAAATCCTTTATTATATATAAGAAAAAAAGACTGACAATTTAAAAAAAAAACCAAAACATTAATTTTTACTTTTTGCTATAAAATATATCCCATACAATATTTAAAAAAATCAAATCTCTTATAACTATAAATAAAATATATAAATCTATTCTAAAATAAATTTTGGCCAACATGTATTCTGCTACATGTCTTTGGTAAAACAAAATCCCCAAAGGTGTATATTGATAGGTTTGTGTGAAAGTTTCAGTGTCTACAAACTATGGGATATATGCTAGAATTTGTATTTATTCTTTTTTTTATATATACTAAAAATGGTGGCGATCAGCGAATAATAACGGGACTGTGATAGTGCGGCGGTCAATCTGACACTAACTGATGCTGTGTGGGAACTGACTAACTGACACATCACCAGTGCCATTATTACAGTAATAGTGATAATAATATGCACTGTCACTGTACTAATAACACTGGGCAGGAAGGGGTTAACATCTAGGGTGATCAAGGGGTTTAATATGTGCCTAACTTTTGTGTTTGTGTGTTTACTGTGCCCTGCTTTTACTGTGGATCTAGTTGTTTTCATTCCCTGGCAGGGGTGGACTGACCATTTGAAAACTCAGGCACTGCCCGAGGACCCGGGGTCAGTAAGGGGCCCCATGAGATGCCCCTGGTACCTTTTTCATAGGCTTTTTTGAGTTTGGGCAAGGACACAGGGGCCCCATGATCCCCTATTGCCTGAGGGCCCCATGATTTGTCAGTCCGCCCCTGTTCCCTACTGAACATTCCCTTTCCCTGCCACTGAACACAGGTCTGTGTGTGCTGTTTATGCTGACAGCTGTGTTCTATGAGTCTCAGGCTCTGTTCACACCTATGTAGTTTGCTTTTTGTCCGTTGTGCAGTGCTTTTTGCGGTTCATTTTGCATTTTTCTACATGCGTTTTTTAATGTGTTTTTACCACATTTTGTTCAGCCCTTTTTTTTTTCTTGAAGTGCAATTTTTTCTTTGCTGGGCAGAATAAAAATGCAGAACGCAAAATGCGGCAAAAGCATGCGTTTTACCACGTTTTGTGTTTTGTTCAGCCCTTTTTTTTTTTAAGTGCAATTTTTTTTTTTTTTTTGCTGGGTAGAATGAAAATGCAAAATGCGGCAAAAACGCACTACCATGCATTTCAGTAGATTCTCCATTGAACTCTATTGTAGCAAAAACACTGCTTTTTGCTTTTAAAATGCCCCTGACCCTTTCCAAAAAACGCACCAGCTCACAAAAAGCATAAATGTGAACAAGTTCCATAGGAAACCATGTTAAATGGACTGCAAAAAGCACTAAAAAACGCATTGGTGTGAATGGAGCCTCAAAGCCGATCGCCAGGTCACCCGGTGACTGGCATGTGCTGTGACGAATCACAGCATAGCCGGTGGGCACTCACACCCCCTACCTGGATATTCAGAATCACGTATATATATATGTGATTCTGCGCAGAGCAGCTGCCCTGTAGCAGTAAAGCTACTATGGACCGGCTGTAGAGTGGCTAAAAAATTTGACAGATGACTAGACAATCAGCCAAACAAAAGAAAAATGATTTGGGGGCTATTCAGATCTATGCATGTGCCTAGAGGTGTGGTTTTTGTAGAGTTAGGCAGGTGCATTGTGGTTTTCCTTTGTGCATTGATAAGCATTCCTGATGCATGTTTCACCCTAGGATTTAGAATGGATATAGTAGTTTTTTTTTATTAAATTCTTTTCAACTTTGTATTCTTAACTCAGAAAGTTCCTTCTGTTGCTCTCAGCCTCCTCTAAATCTCCATATTCTTTTGTTTTTGCTGCTGTGATCTGACTTCCTGTTGCAAACAAAAGTGAAGAGGGGAAAGAGAGGTTCGGGAGTTCACAGAGAATGTTACAAGGAGACAGAAAAACCCAGTAAGAAACAAGGTGATGAAAAATAGATTACAGGGCCACTAAAGTGTTACTAAACCCAGACCCTGCATTCACTTTATCTGGTCTCCCTGGACCCTGCATTCACTATATCTGGTCTCCCCGGACCCTGCATTCACTATATCCGCTCTCCCCGGACCTTGCATTCACTATATCCGGTCTCCCCGGACCCTGCATTCACTATATCTTGTCTCCCCGGACCCTGCATTCACTATATCTGGTCTCCCCGGACCCTGCATTCACTATATTTGCTCTCCCTGGACCCTGCATTCACTATATCTGGTCTCCCCGGATCCCGCATTCACTATATCTGGTCTCCCCGTACCCTGCATTCACTTTATCTGGTCTCCCTGGACCCTGCATTCACTATATCTGGTCTCCCCGGACCCTGCATTCACTATATCCGTCTCCCCGGACCTGCATTCACTATATCTTGTCTCCCCGGACCCTGCATTCACTATATCTGGTCTCCCCGGATCCTGCATTCACTATATTTGCTCTCCCTGGACCCTGCATTCACTATATCTGGTCTCCCCGGACCCCGCATTCACTATATCTGGTCTCCCGGACCATGCATTCACTATATCTGGTCTCCCACAGTACACAGAACATGGAAATGCAATTATTTTAGTAAATATAAACTGCTAAATACCTTTTCTCATCAGCAGTTAGAACAGTCTTGTGACCTATATCAGTGTCTAGCTGAGCACTGGTTAAAGCTTGTAGGAGGAGTTTTCATTCTACTCTGACTGTCCTATGAGGCTGCATAACCCCTGATTCTCTGGACAGTGATTATTGGTCCTGTGCTGATTACATGCACCTTCCCAAAGAAAAAAAAAATCTCTCTAGCAATACACACTAAACTGATCATGTGTAGAGTGTCTCCTAGGGTTCTGTACTACCAGCAGATGGATTGAGGACAGTAGAAGAAATGGAGGATCAGAGAAGACAGGATCAAACAGCCTTTTTACACCATGCAGAGGACTGACCCCCTTAGGTTCCACAGTGAGTAAAACAAGCATGCTGTACTGCATATACAGACTGATTTTTCTCTTGTGGGTTAAGTAACACTTTATAGTTGACAGAATTAAACACATATTTATTGGCACTTTAAATAAAATAAATTTTAAACAATAAAAAAGCATGCCATAAATCAAAGACTTATCAACACAAAGGGCACAGTACAGGGAGAGTCAGGAGGGCACAATACATGTTCTGGGATGCTGTCCAGGCAATCCCGGGACAACTTAGTAAAACGTGTGACGGTCCTGGCAAAGTCGGGACAGTTGGCGAGTATGATGTAATGCAAGATTATCATGGGGCCCCCCCATGAACCTGGGGCCCCTGGCCAGTGCCCAGGGGTGCCGTGTATTAGGACACATCTGGTTTCAGGCTAACAGTGCTGAGCCACTGTCTTGTAAATAGAGGGAACGTTGTCAGGCTGCCATGTGACTCAGTTGGCCAGTCTATTAGGTTCATCAGACAGGCATTTCCATAGCCAAATGAAGAACTTAGCATGGCAGGTTAACAATGTTCCTGCCCTTGCCAAGGCACTGCAGTGGCAAGATAGTTCATTTACAACAAATGGGCTGGCAATGCGCCTTAAAAAAATGCTTTTATCTAAGGCAGCACAACGTGCAATACATGCATTGGGGTGCATTGCCCTCTACTGCAATTACGCATCACTACAACACAAAGGTGTGACTGGGCCCTTTCCTTCAATGGAGATATATCATGGCTTTGTAGATATCCTTCTTTTGATTATCGTGGTCAAAACTAAAAAAAAACAAAAAAAAAAACTTGTAAAAGTATTTTTCCTTTTTTTATTTTGTCAGCCAAAGATAAAATATTGCAGATGAATATTTTGTATTCACAATTTCAGACAGCATGTTAGGACTATGTAAAACATTATCTATAAACTTAAAAAAAAAAAAAAGCAAAATAAAACGTTAAAACAAAATTGACGCAAAACCATCAGGGCTTGTTCACACCAGGTGCTATAAAGCCCGTTGTACATGTGTGTGGCCATTCATTCTTTGTTACATTCCAGTGCAGGAGCAGACTGACCATTTGGAAACTCGGGCACTGCCCGAGGGCACGGGGTCAGTAGGGGGCCCCATGATCCCCTAGTGCCCGGGGGCCCCATGAGTTGTCAGTTCGCCCCTGTTCCAGTGCACAAATACAAATACTTGGTGCATCGCACTGCAAAGACAAAAGTTGTGCAGGTGCATTTTTTTTGGCATTTAGGGGTCATGTACACTGCAGCTGATTAACTGACATTCAGGAGCTGTTCAGCGTTTTTTTCAGCAGCCCCTGAACTCTCCCTAATGTTCTCCTATGTGTCCATGTACACATCGTCATTTACCGGCAGTTGAGTTTACAGTCGTTTTTTTTTTTAACGCACCAAACTTGCGTTCAGGAGTAGATTTTACCGGTGTGCCAAACGCATGTAAACGCGGCTAACCGCCTTTATAAGCGTTTGTATTTAGAAGCGTTTTTTTAACTGTTCCATATCCAGATGCTGTCCAGAGCCTTTTTTCATCATCAGAAATGCATGCAAAGTGTTTCCATGTATTCAAATGGACCCGGTACACCAGCGCAGTCAGTTCCAGGTTTGGCGTGAAGGAAAAAAAAAAAATGGTAGAACGTGCCGCATTATGCTCATGATGGGATCCATAGTGAATACAACCAGAAAAGACAGGTCATCTCAACACATACTGCTCTCTCTGCTTCTGCTCTCTCTATTCCTCTCAAAATGTCTGAAATAGTTAATTTTTTACTATTTTTCAGTGCATTCTGGGCATTTGGGAAGGTCTCCTGATGTTATCTTTTAAAACGCTTCTAAACGCAAACGCTCATAAACGCGGTATGCAAACGCGGCTAAACAGACTTTTTTTTAACCCACGTTTTCCAGCACAGCAGTCAGTTTCCATCGTTCAGAGGAGTTTTCCAAATGCCCCGTGTATGAGAGCCCTTATGCAGAATTAATTGCAACGTGTGTCAATGCATAAAAACACAAGTACGTTTTGGTGTGAATAAGCCCCTTTAAAACTAGGAAAGTGCAAGTGTGCCTTACCTCCTTCCCGGAGTGTGCGTTCTGACTGTCAGGTCTGTCCAGCGTACAAGCAGTTCTGTCAAATAATGAAGGCTTTGTGTCCGGACAAAAGCCGCAGAAGACTTCGTCTAGTGTTTCTGCAAAAGGCAAATGGAAACCATATACACTTCATGATGAATGGTCTGTCAGTGAAAAGCGTAGGGAAGATTTTTTTGTGTGAAACAATCACTTGCTTCGCTGGCCTTCTGTCTGTCTATTAGAAGGTGATCCTTACCTGACGGGGGAGGTGACTTCTCCAGTAGGTCCATCAGCTGCTGCCTTATGGGGCTCCTCACTTGGGATGCGTATCGTACTGCAGAATTCCCATTTAAATCTAACAGGCGGGTATCTCTGCAAATTCAAACAAGGACAGTTATTCGCTGGTAAGAATCAACTATTGCTCCCACAGTAACTGCTATTAATATTCAATGACTTAACAGTTAATACTGTTTAACCACTTCAAGTCCGGACACTTTTACCCCCTGCCTGTCCAGGTCAATTTTCAGCTTTCAGTGCTTTCACACTTTGAATGACAGTTAATGTCTAAATTTTTCTAAATTTTTTTTTCTAAATTTTAAATTTTTTCTAAATTTTTTTACATTTTAATTTTATTTTTTTATATTATTATTTATGTTTTTTTTTAACATACTGTCACCCTAGCAGTACAGTGTCACCATAGTTGGGGGGGGTGATGAAGATTTTTTTTTTTTTATGTTAATGTGTGTATTATGTGCTGCTTTTTACTAAAAATCTATTTGTTCCTTCTCCCTGCAAAGCAAAAAGATTATTTCCTCTGTACTGAGCTTTGTGTTGTTTGTCAACATAGGACTCTGGGTTGTGATTGGACTCAGCTCATCAGCAGGTCCTGGCCATGAATCATTGCCTGGGAAAAATAGAGAGCAACTGAGCACGTGCAGAGCAGGATGAGACCATGTATTACTGGATTTGAAACACTATCGGCACTTATTTTTAATGTTTAACATAGCTATGCTGGCAAAAGGAGCCAGCCTGAAGTGATCTAGCAGGACTTAGTTTTCTGAGAAAAGTTCCACTTTCAATTCCCCAAAATCCTTATTTTTGGTGAACTGGGTCCTAAAACTGAACTTTATATTCAAGATGAGACCTTTGTGCTTTGTACAGGGGCAAGATGATCTCTATACCTCTTCCGAAACCTTTGAGATTGAGAAAGGATTGGAATTTGTTTGAGAGGTTGTTAGATTCACGTGGAGATGGGAAACGGGGCACAGCAAAAGTTTATAAGATTCTCACTGAGTTAGACACACACACAAAGCCAATGTACATAGTAAAATGGGAAAGGGATTTGGGAATAGAGATAGATGAAGATAAACAGAGGAAAATATATAGGCTAACACATGAGAACGTAAGCATGAGAGAGGTGGAGGTAAACTATAAGTGTTTAACAAGATGGCACATTTCACCAAATGTAGAATATAAGATGAGTGGGGAGAATACATTAGAGTGTTGGCGGGGGTGTGGAAAGATTGGTACGTTATATCATATATGGTGGGAGTGCTCAAAGATTCAAGGTTTTTGGGAGACGGTGGTTTATTTAATTGGGATAATCTCTGGGATTGGATCCAGAGTTGTGTCTACTACATAGTACAGAGCTACCAGTGAACAAATACAAAGATTCGGGTATATGGTACTATCTAAATGCGGCAAAGGGTCTGATACCTACGTTTTGGCATAGTTCAGAGGTACCGAGAGAAGAGGATTGGGTGGAAAGAGTGAATCAGATATGTAGGATGGAGAAACTGTATTATATGCAAGAAGACAAGATTGGGTTATATTACAGGAGATGGGGAAAATGGGAAGATTTTGTGTCCAAGGTGAAATATATGAAGCAGTAGGGTGGGATATGTGAAAGTACCCCTTACTGAGGAAAAGATGCAATGGAGAAATGCAGAATGGGTGGGTTTTATTTTTTTTTTTGGGGGGGGGGGGGGGGGAATAGGCTTTAGAGTGGGTGGGGGTACTAGATAGGTGGAGGGGGGTAATGGGAATAACTATAGAAAGGGATCAATTGATAGTTTTGTATGTTATATGAGAGTAATGATGGAATATGTATTTTTATATGGAAAATAAATAAATATTTAAATTAAAAAAAAAAAAAAATGATCTCTATACCTTTTTTTAATACAAGAAAATATCTTGCTTGGTCTACAAGCTACATATAGGTACTGCATGCTGTTAATAAATTGAGCCTTTAACAGGGGCGGACTGGTAACTCATGGGGCCCCTGGGCAATAGGGGATCATGGAGCCCCTGTGTCTTTGCCCACACTCAAACAACACCCAAAAAAGCCTATGAAAGGTACCAAGGGCATCTCATGGGGCCCCCTTCTGACCACGGTCTCTTGGGCAGTGCCCGAGTGCCGGAATGGTCAGTCCTCCCCTGGTCTTTAATAAACCAAGACATCCAGATCCTTCTCCATCATTAACTCCCCCAGTTGTACTCTACCTAGCTTGCATATCATCATGTAGGAGATGAATTATACAAATAATGAAAAAAGGGAAAGCAAGGGTGTCACTCCCAGTTAAGCAGATGAGGTAGAGAACAGAACCACCACTCCACTTAAAAAGTCCATCATAATATTTATCTTTCAATTTACCAGGAGAAGGCAATGGGTTTCGGAAGTGGCAAGAATCCCTCTTGTGCAGGGTTAGCTTGTGTGTAGCTTATTTTTGGCATCATGCTGAACTAAAGTGAACATAGGCATCACTAAAGCTAACTCTGAGAAAGGGGAACTTTTACAGCCCCCTAAATGTGTTGGCTTCTCCTGGAGAATTGAAATAAAACCTTATTCTATACTTTACAAGTGGAGTGGTTTTTCTATTCTCTTCCTCGTCTCTATGTTTCCCTATGGAATATCTACACAAGTCCTAGAAAAACAGACTAACTCCCATATAAAAAAACCCCCCCAAAAGATAATATAAAACATATTGGGCAGTCCAGTGCTTCCCAAGATCACAACATTACTGAGCCGCCAATAGCCAGTCAGTTTCCATACCGCCAATTGTAGCAGCAATGTATGGAGTGAGCAGATCTTGGAACTTGGAATGACTCAACACTGGGTAAATATAGCAGTACAACCCATAACTTCACCGAGACACAATGCTGCAAGTATAGTATAGTCACCAGGGGATTTGGGAAATCCACAAAGACAGCATCATATTTTCCTATGTTGTCTATTTATCATTGTGAGAACTTACCCATGACGTCTTATTAGTTCTTCTAATACAGACACAGGTTTGTACTCTCTCTCCATGGTCAGCCCCTCAAATAGATCCACATCACGCACCACCAACATCAGAGGGGTCAGGCCTTGCACATTTATAGTGTTCACATCCTGGCAAGAATCTGTGGACTTAAGGAATAAGATGAATTCTAGACATGATATATTTTTACAGAGTTGCATTGGTACAGATTGGTATATACCTTACCTGGCTGATGCCCCTGGAAGCTGGAAATCGGAGAAGGCTTTACATTTATTCAGAAAACACAATGGTGCCCGTGCTGAGTAGCCAACCTCCTGTGTTCACAATGCATCAGGCCAGCCACTCGATATGGGATGTGGAAGCAAATGGAGATTACTTGAGCAGCGGTGTCTACTTCAATGATTTCTAGCTTTCAGGGGCATTGGCCAGGTATGGTATTTACATAGTTACATTGGTCTAAGCTGGATTAATGTAACTATGTAAAAATATACCATACCTGGATTTTTTTCTTTAAATGGAAACTCCATTTACATTTTAATGATAACAAATATTACAGCACCTTTCCATTTCAGTCTGTAGATAGCTACTTTCTAAACTGGCCAAAAATGTTAAATTGTATTTTTTTTCAGTCAAGGCAATACAGT